ACTATTATTTATAATTAATGACCCACCGGTGGGTCATGCCGTCATCAATGTGTTAAATATGTACATTTGCCTAATGACTTACGAATTAGGGAAAGCTAGGTACTATCTTTCCCTTCCAAATATTGTACTCCCACTATTTTAATTCCCTACTATAAAATAGGATGTTTATGTAATACAAAGTGAGTCTGGAAGAGAGTCTAAAAGTCTGAAGTCAGACTAAGGGCAAGTCTTACCTAAGGGGCCGAACTGAGAAGTTGGTCTTCCAAGGAAGAGCACTTACTTCGTAAACACTAACTTAAGAGCAGAATGTAACTCTTAGTTAATAATACCTGAGATCAACTATTGTTTAGTTGACTTCTCAATAAAACTCCGATGTATACAATAAAACTAAATTAAGAATATTGCATTTAATATTCATAAAACCCTCCAAGACGACATAACTACGAGATAATCCACGGTGTCCAAGGATTTCTTAACCCTGGGACACGACATATCAGTCATGACGTTTAATGATGAGAACTTTGCTTAAAGTAATTGTAATTTGTTCCATAGGTTGTTCATAAAAAAGTGTTTGGGTTGTACGGAGAGGATATCTCCGGAGGAGTTGGTGATGAGGGCGTGCGACAACATCTTTCATCTTAGATGCTTCACCTGCGTGGTGTGCGGAATTCGGTTGCAGAAGGGCGATCTGTACGTGATCAAGCAGGGTCAGCTCTTCTGTCGGATAGACTACGAGAAAGAGGTGGAGATGCTGCAGGGCTACGGACACGGTACGTATTCTACGGATGAAGAAACGAAGGAACCGAGTAGCTCTGAATCTGTGTTGAAGGTGATTTTTTATGCGACGACCTGCTGCAGACCAGTAGAGCCCACGACGGCCGAAGAGGACCTAAAAGACCTAGGACTATTCTGACGACGCAGCAGAGGAGAGCCTTCAAGGCTTCCTTCGAGGTGAGCCCGAAACCGTGCAGGAAAGTCAGGGAGGCTTTGGCGAAGGACACAGGGTTAAGCGTTCGGATCGTGCAGGTGCGATTGTACAATTTGAACGATCGACTTAATTGTTGTTGTGGATAGGTTTGGTTCCAGAATCAACGGGCGAAAATGAAGAAGATGCAGAAGAAGGCGCGACAGGATGGCGGAAAAGGTCCGAAGGACGCGGACGGCGATGGCGAGAAGAAGCTGAGCGTGAAGGAGGAGGAGCAGAGTGAGTGGCTAATGAATTTTTAATGAAGTCGTTTAATTTTGGAGCGCATCGCGGCGAGAGTTGGATAGATAGGTTTCGGCTGAGTTCCGTTTAATTAGTAATCAATTGGAAAGTTAGTTCGCCTCTGGGCTTCCCACTGCTCATCCTATTCCTCATCCTATTTCACTACCCTCCGCGTGTTTCGCAGTCGAAAGTAATAAAATGGAGATCATAAACGGAGCGTCGAATCGGAGCGTCGAGGGTGAGGCTTGCTCGTCGCCATGGTTACAGTTTGGGGGCTTCCCCGTTTTTTTTTCTTCTTCTCTCTCGTAACGGAGCGTTTAAAATCGGAAATTAAAAAAAATAATATTAATTTTTTGAATTGCCAAGTTACAAGTGATTTAGCATGTTTGGAAATGTTCTTACGTTTTTTCTGCAGGTCCGACGTCGACGCCGTTCTTCAACGATAGCTGCAGCGACACCGAAACCACCGGAGACGCGGAAACCCTCAACGACAACAAGCACTTTCTGCAGATCAAGGAGGAAATCGAGAACGACTCGGCTTTCTTCAAGTGCAACAACAATTTGGCTCTAAGACAATTTGCTGGTAAGATACTACAAAATTTAATACAAGACCAATTTGAATCCAATCCAATCTTAACTTAGTTATAAAGTATCTTAATCAATAATTAGAAAAGATTTAAACCTTACAAATCTATTACTTAAAGTTTTTTTTTAATCTAAATTTACAACAATTGTATTTTGTGACAATTTTTCATTATATAATTAAACTAACTAATTAACAGTCAAATCTTAATCTTAATCCAATCCAATCTTAACTTAGTTATAAAGTATCTTAATCAATAATTAGAAAAGATTTAAACCTTACAAATCTATTACTTAAAGTTTTTTTTTAATCTAAATTTACAACAATTGTGTTTTGTGACAATTTTTCATTATATAATTAAACTAACTAATTAACAGTCAAATCTTAATCCAATCCAATCTTAACTTAGTTATAAAGTATCTTAATCAATAATTAGAAAAGATTTAAACCTTACAAATCTATTACTTAAAGTTTTTTTTTAATCTAAATTTACAACAATTGTGTTTTGTGACAATTTTTCATTATATAATTAAACTAACTAATTAACAGTCAAATCTTAATCCAATCCAATCTTAACTTAGTTATAAAGTATCTTAATCAATAATTAGAAAAGATTTAAACCTTACAAATCTATTACTTAAAGTTTTTTTTTAATCTAAATTTACAACAATTGTGTTTTGTGACAATTTTTCATTATATAATTAAACTAACTAATTAACAATCTAATCTTAATCCAATCCAATCTTAACTTAGTTATAAAGTATCTTAATCAATAATTAGAAAAGATTTAAACCTTACAAATCTATTACTTAAAGTTTTTTTTTAATCTAAATTTACAACAATTGTGTTTTGTGACAATTTTTCATTATATAATTAAACTAACTAATTAACAGTCAAAAATCTTAATCCAATCTTAACTTAGTTATAAAGTATCTTAATCAATAATTAGAAAAGATTTAAACCTTACAAATCTATTACTTAAAGTTTTTTTTTAATCTAAATTTACAACAATTGTGTTTTGTGACAATTTTTCATTATATAATTAAACTAACTAATTAACAGTCAAATCTTAATCTTAATCCAATCCAATCTTAACTTAGTTATAAAGTATCTTAATCAATAATTAGAAAAGATTTAAACCTTACAAATCTATTACTTAAAGTTTTTTTTAATCTAAATTTACAACAATTGTGTTTTGTAACGTGATACTTTACAAAAATTCAATGTTTTTATACAATTTGTCATTGTATAATGAAACTAATTAATTAACAGAATGATTTGTGAAATTGTAAAACTTTAGGGTTTTTAAACATGTTATTTAGGTTTGATGCAAGAGAAGCGCGAAGACTACATTTTCGACTCGGGCCAACCGAACGTCTTCATGATACCACCAATATCTGCCCATCAGGCCCATCACCATCATCACCATCAACACAACGCAACCATCATCAACCCCATAGACCGTCTCTACTCAATGCAGAACTCGTACTTTTGCGGCGAAGACGAGAACATGATGGAACAGTAAATCGTAGGCAAAATCGGGCCAACTCTGAAAACTACACAACATAATTTTAATTTTAAAATTAAATATTAACAAAATCGAAACGAAAATTCAAACGTTTATTAACAGAAATATTAATAATATTTATTTTTCAAAAAAATATTTTAGTTTATGAAAATATTCATTGATTAAAATAAATACCTGGAGTAGTTTAAATGCATAAAAATCATACAAATATTGAAATTGAAAATTCATATTATTATTTATTTATTTATATCAAATCCAATTACGAATTGTCCGCGAGTTTCCAATTTATTTATATTTTTTTTTGCACTGCCAATTTTTATTTGTAATTTCCGATTTCATTTCCGTTGTTGTTGGTTTATTTATTCATTTATATGTTGTTGTTGTTTATTTTTATTGTAAATATATTTTGTATGTTTGCACGCAGAGAGAACAAAACGAAATTTAATTTTATTTCGTGCTCGCAATAAATAATTATTTATTACTCAGAGTTGGCCGACCTACACAATATACGCACATAAATGAATACGTTTGTTGTTGTTGTTGTTGTTTCGCCTATTATGTACATAACAATAAAAGAGAGAAAGGATAAATGCACGCATTTACACGTATATTGATATAAAATTGCATGCGAAACGTACGATTAATTGAAAAACGTTTTTTGTTTAGTTTTCTTTTTTGTAAATATTTCGAATTGTACATAATATATTATTATATAATGAAATGTAATTTGGAATGCGGCGTTTTTCCTTTGTGATATTTCCTACTGTTTTATTTATATTTTTGTTTTGGTTTTGTTGATTAAATTGGAACGTCGATTTTTGTTATTTTATAATCGTCGGTTTCTTGTGCTAATTGTGAAATTTAAGAATCCAAACGAAGTCTTGAGTTTAATATATATATAAATATATTTATAAAATTTTAGCTTTTGTAAACGTGCATATGCTGTGAATATATATATTATATGTAACGATTTGTGCGCTTCAATATTTTCGAATTTTATCAAAAAAACAAACAATTAATAATAAAATCAATTTAAAAATAATAATGGTAATCATTTCCATCCCTTTACATTCGTTCCTGATAATATCTAAAGTTTTCTTTTATAATAGATTTATTTGTTATATAATTAGATTTTTATCTAAACACTACAAAAAAATACTATACACAAATTGGTAATTAAAAATAATATTTATAAATTATGAAAAATTGTAAAAAAAAATAAGGTGAGTGTGTAGGATTTTATGCATTGTATTTGTGCGCTTCAATATTTTCGATTTTTATCACAATTAATAATAAAATCAATTTAAAAATAATAATGGTAATAATTTCCATCCCTTTACATTAATTCCTGATAATATCTAACATTTTCTTATATAATAATACATTGATTTGTTATTTAATTAGACTTTTATATAAACACTACAAAAAAATACTATACACAAATTGGTAATTCAAAATAATATCTATAAATTATGAAAAATTGTAAAAAAAATAAGGTGAGTGTCTAGGATTTTATGCATAGTATTAGTTTTCTTTAGATCTGTCGTGTCTCGGGATTCAAATATCTTTGGACACTGTGGAATATCTCGTAGTTATGTCGTTGTGGAGTTTTTAAGCACTTTATTATTCACTATAAGATAATTAATAACTTCTATGTCTAGATTCCAGTTGCTAGGTTTGTTATGAGTCTAACTAGAACTCGGGAGGATTCTCCACTAAGACTAAATCTATCTTGGACTAGTGACTAGCTAGGTTTACAACTTTAACACTGACTTTTTAGGACTCTCTTGTATTACATAAATATCCTATTATATAGAAGTGAATTAGCATAGTAGGAGTACAATATCTGGTAAGGGATGATCGTACCTAACTTTCCCTAATAATTAAGTAATTAAGATGTACATATTATTGATTGGAAATTTGAGTTTGTGCACAACATGTTAATTAACAATAGTCGTTACACAATGATTAGTTATGGGATCTTCCTAAGTGGTATTTGTTCTAAATCTTAATGACTTACACACAAATAATAAGGGTTAACATAATATAAACAATAACGGTTATACATAACAGATCATCACTGTTTTCATCAGTTAATTGTTTATTATAAATTTAATTAGTCTTGTTTGCTTAATTTATTGTATCTTAGCTTAATTATTGCTGTGAATCAGCAACTGTAGCCGTGTATACAGTTGCTGATTCACACAGTCTTAATTGCATCAGTTTAATCATTATTTAAAATACAATGGCAACTTACTTAACGAGTTTAATCCGTTCCAGAATTTCCGGATTTTTACACGTATAGTGAAACAATTTTCCATTTGTTCAGTTGGATTAATATTTTTTTGTTTTCATTTTATTTTTCTAAATTGGTTTAATAATCTTAACTGTTTCATCTTAATCTAAATAGTTTTATTTTGTACTAAGTCTTAATGATTTACACACATAAACAAGTACAAAATAATAAGGGTTAACATAATATAAACAATAACGGTTATACATCATTGTCTTCATTAGTTAATTGTTTATTATAAATTGAATTAGTCTTGTTTGCTAAATTTATTGTATTTTATCTTAATTATTGATGTGAATTAGCAACTGTAGCCTTGTATACAGTTGCTGATTCACACAGTCTTAATTGCATCATTGATTCATCAATGTCTTAGTTACTTAATTGTAGTCTAACTTGTTTAATCATTATTTAAAATACAGTGGAAACTTGCTATATTCCGGATTTTTACTCGTATTTTGAAACAATTTTCCATTTGTTCAGTTTTCATTTCATTTTTCTATTTTTTTTTTAATTAACTGTTTCATCATAGTCTAAATAGTTTTATTTTGTATTTACTTTGATTCATAATTGTCTGAAAGAAGTCTAAATGAATGAATGTATTTGTTGTCATGAATAGATGGTGTGCGTATTTATGAAGGGTAAATGCGAGATTAATAATTCGTTAGTTGGCTTTTAATGTTGGGCAGAAATTATAGTGAATTAATTAACTTAAAAAAAAAATCATAGATTCTGCATTATTATATAAAGATTTTAATGAATTTGATTTTTTCATTTATTTTATTTTGTATAAACTTTGAATACGAGATAAACTTACAAAATGAAAATTACAATTAATTTCAACGATTTTCATAGAAACTATATGAAAATTGAAAAAAAAAAACAAGCAAGTACATTCATTTCAAAACTTTCTTTATATTTTTGTTGCTTTTTTCTTTTATCTATAAAAATTAACAGAAAACAATTACACTGGAATGCTTTGCTTAATGAGCAAAATGAATTGTAAGAAAAATGATTCGCTTAACGACCGATGTTTCGCATAACGGGTGACGATTGTGTACACATATTACGGAAATATTGAAAGGTTGGATGGAAGTGAATCTGGGAAGCGGGAGGATACATAATAGAAGGAAGAAGTTGAATTGAATATATGTGTGAGAGAAAGCCTCTGGCTACAGGCGTGATCCATCCGTACAGGCACTATGTGTTTATTGATAAGACTGTTGATGTCCGGGACTCCCGGTTGCAACACCAACCACCAACAAGCAAGGGTGTATCAATTTTGTATGTGTATATATATATATATATAGATATATTGGACGTGGATTTATTGGCAATATGTGTGTGTGTGTGTGCACTACAGGGGGGTTGGGGGAGGTGGAATTGAACGGTGGCATGACGCGTGGCCTCGGTGAGAAAACATTTGACGGTTCGTATTTGCGGCACGCGACCGGCCTATTTACAAATTGGCCGGAGGCGGCGGTAGCCTCCGTCCTCTGTCAATCCCCCAGTGAAGCCCTAAATATCATTGAAAATGAGCCGCCGATAGGGATCTTAAAAACCTTTTTGGGGGATGTAGGGAGGAGAAGGACACGTTTATTGCCCGCACACGATGCACGCGATTCAAAACCGATGCACCGTTTACCGTTCACAATATCCCTGTTGCACCGAAACGGAAGTAACGTTTCCATTAACGCCGCAAGAGTAGGCGGGAATGGTGCAATTCGTTATATATGTAGAGAAAAAGAGATGAAGGTGAAAATTAAAGCGCTGTTAAAGAGATCCAAGAGCCTACAACTTTTGTTTCTTAAACGTATGAAAAAAATAGAGTCTTAAACCTGTCAAATTCTCAATTGTTTCAAGAATGGATATTGTTTTTTTGAAAACAATAGATTTACAGCAAACTGTATTTTTTTTAGAGTAAACAATAACAAACTTTAATTCAATGTAATGTTATTAATTGATTCACAAAATACTACAGTTTTGTTATAAAATACGTTTATTTAAATTATTTTCTACGAATTTGTTTAAAGTTTTATAATTTAATTGACAAAATACTGCTTCTTTTTTTTAAATAAACAATATCAAACGAATATTAGTTAATGAAACTTTAAATTTTATGAATTTTGATTATTTAATGAAAATATACAGTGGAAACTTGCTTAACGAGTTTTAATCCGTTCCAAAATTTTCGGATTTTTACTCGTATAGTGAAACATATTCGAAAATACACTTAATATGTGTACACAAGTTTTAGAAATGATGTAGAAGGCGCGCAATCCGGGACTTTTGTTCTCATCGTCACTCGTTATGTGAAACGTCGCTCGTTAAGCGATTCATTTTGTTCGTTAAGCGAGGTTCCACTGTAATTGTTTTCTGTTAATTTTTATAGATCAAACTATAAGTAAAAAAAGCAACAAAATTTTGAAGAAAGTTTTGAAATTAATGTATATAATTTGCTTGTTTCTGTAATTTTCATATAGTTTATATGAAAATCTTTGAAATTAATTTGATTTGTTGTAATTTGCATTTTGTAAGTTTATCGTATTCAAAGTTTATACAAAATAAAATAAATGAAAAAATCAAATTCATTAAAATCTATATAATAATGCAGAATCTATGATTTTTTTTAAGTTAAATTCTAACTTTGTTATTTTCATCATTGAAATAAAGAGAAACAAGGCTCAGAACTTTTTATTTCACCCAATATTTGATGATTAATAAATAAAAGAAAAA